CTTACACACATACATACGTACTTGCATTGATAATTTCATACATGCGTACTTACATACAACATACATATTGTCGTATATACGCACACCCCGATACATACATACATACATGAATACATATATATACATATGTTTATATAGTTTGTACGTGACTATGATTGCTATACCCTGTGGTCCGAATGACCAACGATATGGCAGTTATAGCTCTAACGATATTCTTATTGTTAATCTAACAACATGCCTATTCTGCACACCAGCACAGCATCAATTCGTCAGTTTAATAACGGGAAAAGCACACTTTTGTTTAATAACTTCTATCAATATGAACAATAAACCATATCAAATGCTGCTAGTGATACTAGTGATAGCCTAATACATCCTAACACATCCGATATAGCTTCCCATTCCCACCAATTTCCAAAGCATCGGACATAACTTCCACACTAGTGCATAAGAGCATATACTTAACATTAATACGAGCTGCTCGGATAAATTCACACAAGTTGTGGTAGTTGAACTTACAGTCCTGTATTATATTTAAAAAATAAATTTACTACTGCTTATTTATTCATTTCATCTCGAGTCAGGTTTCAGCCTTTTAGCCTGTCAGGTCTCCAAGACATCTGGAAAGACGAGATTAGCAATCTGTTCAAAGAGTATGACTCGATGACCTCTACTAGAAGACTCGCTAGAGAGAGAATAAATAGAGAAAATATACCTGAACGGACTAAAGTCCGTAAAAGACATTCGAGCACGGGTAGTAAATACTAGAGTTTTCAACTCGCGCTTTTAACGTAGTATTCGAGAGAGAAGTATTAAAAAATACAGCGTAATATACGGCAGACACTGGTCAGTGACTGGCACATAAATAGTCATGAGTCATGAGTATAAATATAAAAGAAGTCGGGTATGTAAATACCAGCCCATTTTGTTAATAAAAAAAGTTTGACTGTGTAAATACGATATAGAAGTCGGTGGGGCGTTCGGGCACATGTACCGCCTATTTCACCGCAGAAAAACTGCCATAGAAGGTACAGTAGAAGTCGGGCGATCGTGGTGATCAAAAGCCAAATAAAGTAGAGCAAATTCTTGGAAGAGCAAGGCTCTACTAATCTTACTCTATATACCTTAGGTATGTAGGGTATCGTAGGAGAGAACAAACGATAAATAAACCGACAAATGAGGCATTTATGTATGTATTGTAATGTATTTATAATTTATCGTACAGTCCAGTTACCTGTATACATACCTTTTAAAAACCAGATATCCCTATATTTATATATATGGTACGTGGAACTCGTTCATATTTCTCACTTATGTAACTTCAACTTATTAATGGCTATCTAGTTCTCGGCGTCACTACAATAGCCAATTTGGCATCAAAACCTGATAAACCTCATATATAGACGAATATGTCTAGTCTTATACCCGCGCTCGGAATATACTACCAGCCAGGCATAGCGGCCATGGGCGTCGTTGCAACCGTTTCTAGGGTACCTTTTCGCAAGTTTACTAATGAAGTGATTGAAAGCAGAGGAAAAGAGCATATCACAAGCTTATTGGATGGAAGGAACGTTGTATCTCACGAACACGAGGATGCGGTCGAGCATAAAAGGCTGATGAGTAAGATACCTCTGCGTGGGTATGGACTAGCAAAGGATCAGCAGGTATAGTTCATGCACTATGTACACTGTCACGTTACAAATGTTATCTCTATATTAGTTATAATAGAGTTTGATAGCAATCGACTACAGGAATATTATTGGGGTGCTTGTGTTTTGAGGGGATACTATATTATTCATTCCAACTGAATACCTTTAACGATTAAATTGTGCGAATGTTCCACCAAGCAAAGCTGACAATATGAGCTCTTCTAGTAGTAGATTTTTTGTTTATAGAGCATGGTCTTTGGGTTGTATCACAGCCCAAATCCTGAACACTGTGGTTGTCAGATGCCCTAAGAATATTGTCGATGAAAATATGTAAGAGATGAGCAATGCAGAGCTCGCTGTGTATCGTATGTCCATATATCCGGCCCAGCTATCCTATTTTCATATATGGAACGTATCATTCGGTTTATTTGTTTAAGGCGTTTGAAGCGTTGGGCTATTCAACGCACCGGATACAATGTAGGCCATACTATAGCCTTTTGAATTAGACTAGAAAGCTAAAATAAACCCATCACATATTAAACCCATCTCATAATAAACTCATCACATGAATGTATAGGCCCTCTGTTCACACCTTGCACGGAGTCTGTGTCTACTTTCCTTCAATATCACATATTGCTTTTCGGATTGCGTTTTTAGTTTCTAGTGTATCTTTGTCATATGCGTTATCAATAATATGTATTCTTGGCTGTGCACGTATTTAGTAGAATTTAACCTACCGGTGCATATCAATCGGGTAGACGTTACAAACCAGGATATGGATGATAGGGATGGCTAGTAGGCTCAGGGTAGTAATACACACTATTCGTATTCATATGATTACGACTCCAATACACTGCTATGGTAAAGGATAAGGCTAAATGGATGATATATGGCAAACAGTATTTATGTATTTTATTAATGACACATATATCCAATCTGTTTCCAATACTACACTAAATGTGTGCCGGGAGGGTTAGAATCAATGCTGCATCACATATTAATTGTACACGTGTTGGATTTGGATATATTTTTAGTCTAAATGGATGATGGGAATGGCTAGAAACAAGGTGGTATCAATGGACGATGCTGTAGAAATGGTCTGCAACGGTGACACCATTGGGTGCACAGGATTCGTGGCGCAGGTATGTTGCTGTGTCATGTGAAGACATGAATGAACATGTATATATATATATATATATATATATATATAATATATATGCGTGTGTGTATATATGTGTATATATATACGTGTGTGTGTATGTATACTGTGTATGTATGTATATGTGCGTGTATGCGTGCGTATGCGTGTACGCGTGTAAGTGTACGCGTGCGTATGCGTGTACGCGTGTAAGTGTACGCGTGCGTGAATATGTATGTGCATATTTGCATGCGTTTGCATGCAGAAGGCAATACATCACATACATGAACTAGGTTCTCTTATGATATAATTATTGTATACGGACAGAAGGGAGCCCCTGAGGCAGTATTCAAGGCTCCGGGTGGGGAATATGACAAGCGGTGTATCTATTCCCTAAACCGTAATCCCTTAACCTCAATCCTAACTACCGTTTTTCCTCGCATATACGTAGCTTTTGCTTTCATTAAACCCAAACCTCACACACTTGACCTAGATTCATATTGTGCTAGAATTATTGCACGCTGATTCAAGGGAGGCCCTAAGGCGACCCTGCAGGCTCTGCGCCAAAAGCAGACTAAAAGCTCTGAATGAGGAACACGTGAAGTAAGGCGTACTCGAATTTCTCAAGTGGACCTAGCATGACTGACTCCTAGTCCTATTACACCAACAGGGTGCCCCCGAGGCAGTACTGAAAGCTCTGGGCGAAAATTACGTCAAGTTCGGCGTACCCAACTCCCTGACTGCAATGTTTGGCGGAGGACCGGGAGACTGGGCGACGAAAGGGCTCAATCATCTCGCACACACAGCCGACGAGGTCCAAGCAACTACAGGTATGAGGGTAGTGTGTGTAGGAAAGTGGCTCGCTGGTGTATGTATGAATACACGCAGTATGTATGTACCTATGTATCAGCTATCAGGCCTGGTTTCATATATATATATATATAAAAGGGGTTGATTTCGTGTTTGTGTTTGTGTCGCACACACGCATACACGCACACACGCACAAATGTATGTATATATAAATTCACGAAGCACTCTGACAATATGACAATTTCAGCAGCGGCTGACATACGTAATGCTCCTACTATATGCACACTACTGCAGATGGGCTTCAGAAGGACATGTTATTCCGCACCATCGGAGCGCATTACGGACAGACCCCTCAGATTGCGAAGTTAGTACTGAATGAGAAGGTCGAGGCCTGGTCTATACCAATGGGATCCATCTCACGCATGTGGCGAAGCACCGCCGCACACGTGCCTGGCCATTTGACTACCACGGGCATGGGGACGTTTGTAGACCCCGTGACAGGCAGGTGAGTGGCAGCACAGACATAGAGTGGTGCATGTGTATACGAGTGCATGTTGTGTGTATGACTTGTATATCAATTATATATACATATATATATATATATATATATATATATATATATATATATATATATATATATATATAGCATGATTGAGGCTTGGTTTGTGCCCGTGGCAGCAAATTCAGGCGTGTGGCGAACACTTTTTGGGGTACACGTACGGACACCCCCTATCAAGACGAATACTGAAAACGTAGTACGATTTACCATAGCACTACGATTTAAATACGTTATTTCGTTGTATGTAATCAAACCTGCACACACCCTATCAAGACAACCACTAAACAGCACTCCCGTCCCGGTATCCAGTGGCGGCAAGATCAACAAGCGTGCCGAGGCTTCCTCACTGAAGGTAGTGAGTGAGGTATTTATAGATAAGGAACGTCATTTGTTCTACAAAGCACTGCCTATCAGCGTGGCTATTATACGCGCCACGACGGCCGATTCAGACGGTAATCTGTCGTTTGAGAATGAGAGTCTTGTCGGAGACGCCAGAAACCTGGCCATGGCAGCGAGAAACTCAGGGGGCATAGTCATCGCTCAGGTGTGTTGCTAGTTGGCTTGGGCTTCAGTCGATCCATTTGCCTAGCTGAAGATACTACATATCATGTGCTGCTATATAATACGGATAGGAATACGGATACGGAAGTGCGTGGGATTGCCAAGTGTGGTAGGTAGCGAAAGCAACGCATGGTTCAGGCTTATGCTCTATGGGGCTGTGTACCGAGTGTGTGGAAGGGAGAGTTGAAGCCTTTTGAACTATGGTCGAAAAACTCACAGGAAACCACTGAACTCTGAACCCTCAACCCTATGGGTTAAATTCTAATCAGTAAGCCCTAATACTCAGGTGTGAGAGTGGGCAATGTGGTACTAGCCGATGCTCTTAGCTTGTACGTGGTAAATGTACTTCAACCGAGTCAATATACCAGTATAGTAGCCGATAGTGACCGAAGCAAACACATACACCTCCTCACACAGCCACAAACAGTCGCATACACATACCAACCACCAAAGATTTGCCTACATGCCCATTCATATGCATATACTACCATCGTTCATCTCACATGCCACACACACAGGTGAAAAACGTGGCCCAGAACGGCACCATCCCGGCCCCAAATGTGCGAGTCCCAGGTATACTCGTCGACTGTGTGGTCAAGGTGGACCGGGAACTGCAATCGGAGCTGCACCCCATGAGCTACTATGAGGACCACAACCCGTCCTGGAGTGGCCAGCTAAAGGTACCCGTTGATGCTATAGAACCCATGCCGTTGGACGCCCGGAAGATCATTGCCCGCAGAGCGGCGACAACACTTAAGCCAAATAAGGTCAGTGTGTGCATTTATATGGCTATGTAAACGTATATATAAAAATATATATGTGGGTGTGTATTCTTCATCTATATAGACCGCGGTGTACCGATGCCATAGGATGTACGAAAGATTAATTGGGAGGGTGGCCACTACATATAAGCAGCATGAAGTATGCAATGTAGTTGGAAAGCGGATATGAAAATAGCGAACGACTCCTGTGTATAGTATTAAATCGGATCCGAATGAATATACAGTAGCTTTCAAGATGTCGCGTTATTTAAATGTCTGCACTGCATACGTATAAGGTCGCAGATGTTATGGTAAGTTCATGAAAGATATAAATAATATGTACAAATACATAACGCATTCAGGTGGTGAACTTGGGAATCGGAATGCCGGAAGGAGTCGCGTCTGTGGCAGAGGAAGAGGGAGTGTTGCAGTCCATTACACTGACGACAGAGGCGGGAGCTATAGGTGTGTGGGAAACACTCCTTCATTCATTTCGTCCGAATGTGCGTCCGTTCGAAGAAAAATGTTGCACTTCTTTGAATTCGCTATAAGCACACATACCATATCAAAAATAGCCCACATATCCAATCGGATACACCTACATTGTCTTCGTTGTCTTTCGACCGAAGTGGATAATCACTCTTGCTTAGAGCAAACGATGTATTCGAGATGCTGGCCGTCGGCATAGTGCCTGATGTTGAGCGTATCTGTTTAACTAACCTGGGATGACTTCAGGCATGAAATGTACCAGAAAGTCTATACTTCCATTCGTACTCAATTGTATCCCAATGAGGTTGCGCACGATCAAACCCGAACATTCGTCTGCCTGCGAGTTGTGCATACATACACCGTTTACATTCGAAAGGAGATACATACACATACAGTATACATCTAGTTGCAGCAATGTTCATGAAACCCTGTTCCTAAACTCATGATACAATTTGTTCCGTTGCAGGTGGAATTCCTGCGTCTGGCTACAACTTCGGACCGAGCACTAACGCGAGTGCCATGCTTGAGATGAACTCTATGTTCGATCTATACAGCGGGGGTGGTTTGGATGCTTGTTATTTGGGGTATGTTAAAATTCAAGGCCCATCAGCAAATGATAAGAACAGTCAAAAATTGTTCATTCTATATTTGTTACCTTTCCTTTTGGGGAACTGGGTTTCAAGATTGCACTTGTCGAGATGCACGTTCGGCTACTCTTCCAGTGGCAAGTATCGGTTGTGTACGAGAACCTTTACATGTCACGTTAGAGGCGATTGAACCTGCCACAGGACGGGCTGTGCAATGTATTTCACATGCAGAATAGATAAGACTACACAACTCCCTGGTTGTGGAATACGCAAACGGACATGAAGGTTCGTTATATATATATATATATATATATATATATATATACATACATACATATATATATATATATATATAGTTTTTGGGTTGCTGAATCTGATGCTAGCCAGACTTATATTCTTCCGTATATATATAGAGTTATTGAATTGTTGAATCTGAAGCTAGCCAGACTAATATATATATATATATATATATATATAGTTATTGGGTTGCTCAATTTGATGCTAACCAGACTACTATAGTTGTTCCAGATTGTATCTGTCGAGCATAGATGATATTTACTTCAGAGCTTGGACACAATTTGTGTATATGTCAGACCATACCGCTTTTAGTATAAAGACAGCGCATTCTCAAATACACCAAAACTACTTAAACACATTCAGTATGGCTCAGGTCACACCTACGGGTGACGTCAACGTAACTCGTCTCAGTGAGGATCGACTGACAGGCCCAGGTGGATTCATTGACATCTCTCAGGCGACCCACAGGTATGTCACAGGCATCAGGTGTGCTACTTATAAGTACAATTGTCATATATTTATATCTATATCTATATCTATATCTGTGTCTATACCTATATCCAATCTATCTATCTATCTATTTCTATCTATCTATAGAGCTATTATCTATCTAGACATCTATCGGTTGTCACACTTGTGCTTGTAAGAGCTAGCAGTGATTGTCGTATAGGGGACCTTAGTGCATCTTATTGTATCGTATTTAATCAATGCGCGTTGCATGGACACAATCACCACCGGTGTGCTCGCAAAATATAGGAGTACGCTGACAGCGTGCCTAAATGTATCACCTTGTCTTGTATTTAATCAGAGTGTGTTTCATGGGCACGATGACTACCAAAGGCCTCAAGCTTGGTTTTGGTGACAATAGCGGAGTTCTGAATATAGAACGGGAAGGGGCGATCAAGAAATTCGTCAACGACACATACGAGGTTACTTTTTCAGGTAAGTCTACATGGGACTATTTCACATTTACAACACCTTCAAAAACATTCGGTATGTATATAACTACCACAGGTTGGATACTGATGGCTTAGATACTTGTTTTTTCTAGACTTCTAGAAATACTGATATAAATGTGCGCACAGGTACTTTTATAGATGTAGATTATATATATTTATAGATAGATTATACATACACATACACACACATTGGCATATATATATATATATATATATATATATATATGTTTCTATATTTCTATACATAACTGTATATATATATATATATATATATATATATATATATATATATATATATATATATATATATATATATATATATATATATATATTTATATTTATAACGATATATCAAATATACAAATATACAAATACATATAAATACAAATATAAATGTATCTCTTACCTACTAACCTACAGGTGATGAGGCAGTAAGGAGAGGACAGCATACATTATACGTGACGGAGAGGGCTGTGTTTAAGCGGTCCAGTGCTCACCCGATACTCGAACTGATAGAGATTGCGCCGGGACTAGACTTGGAGAGAGATGTTTTGTCGGCCATGGAGTTCAGGCCAGGTAAGTCATTTGGCTGAAGTATACACCCAGGGCGTGATTCATTGGATACGAAATGATACATGTGCCTGTTACTGGTTCAAACTATGTGATGTATAGAGCCACGGAGTTCAAGCCAGGTAATTTGTTTTTGGTGATTGAGCAGTGCACGTTGTGAATCTGCGGGCGTGATTGTTAGTTATCGATTGAATGTACGTGTGCTGCTATCAAGTGTTGTATATTTGGATATGATATAGATGGTGCCGTATCCAATATCATCGCCCACAATGACGGTGTTAGGCACGTCAGTATACCTATCTCATGCTAAAATTGGCTGGTAACAAACGAGAGTACGGCGCAAACTAGCCTTGGGTGCCGAATTTAGTCCAGCTCGCATTCTCCGGAAGCCAATCGCGGCAAGAAAACAGGATAAACTCACTGTATGTATCTGTCCACCTCCACAGTGATATCCCCGGACCTCAAAACGATGGACCCAAGACTCTTCAAATTCGAAAAAATGGGACTGAGGCGGGACATGACAGGTGTATCACTATCTGACAGGGCACAGTACCATGAAGACGACCACACTCTGCTGCTGGATTTGTCTGGGGTCACCGGTAGGTGGCGTGGGATAAACACACATCTATGCAGTCATACGTGCATGCATAAAACAGAATAACATAGATCCGTCCTTATTACACACATTTCGTTCCAGTGTAGATACAATGCAAAATATGGTAATGACTATATCAAACACTCACGTTCGAGTACTGTTCCATTTTCAGTATCCCAGCCGGAGGAACTCCGACGGTTTGAATCTGACCTGAAAGCACTGTTCGACCCGCTCAAAGCAGCGGGTGGCAAATTCAACGCCGTCATCAACTACGATGGCTTTGATTGTTGGCAGCCGATCGAGAAGGACTACAGGTGAGAATGGGTGATTGATATATAAACGTCAGCTAGAATGCTTATGGGTTCTGTGATACGCTTTTCCAATTTTATCACGTTGTACTTATGTATATATAAATATGTATATGTGTATATATGTATATATGTATATATATATATATATATATATATAGTTATATATA